CATTCCTAGACCATGAGTCCTTCTGATGAGTTTTGATGTCTCATGGAAAGATTTTCAAGCTCTTTGAGCACGGGGTGTAGGCTCAAAGAAGTGTTTGGTAGACTTGGGGATGGAGAAGGAACAGTTGGAAAGCCCCAACAGTGACATTTGGTGCTGGGTGGTGGTGGGGGAAGCAGATTTGGTGTGTTGGAAGGACTGTCTCTGCTGTCCAAGCATCCTTCTGTTGCTTGGGGGATGCTGGAGGCTCTCCAGCTATGGCGAAGGGCACATGGATATATCTTGATGTTAAGTTCCTGATTCCAAAACCTTAGGAGTATCCAAGGTGACTGGGAAGTCTACACCCAGCTCTGACACAGTTGGGTATTTGGTTTCACAATGCATATGTTGACTCCTGTGACAGAAAAGACATTTTATGTCTGGCCTTTCATTTTAGGGTTGCCAGAAGACATGACCTGTTCATTAGGAGAATCCTGAAAGTAAGACCCTGCAGGGCAAAGGCCAGAAATAACCCACTGAAATGGGGCAGTGCTCATCACCTGCCCATGCTGACCTGTCATTTCCCCTGGAAATATTTTGACCTCTATTACTCTGTCACCCGGAGGAGCCTGTGAGGCTGACGGGACATCTCATGGACCAGGAAATGAAAAGGCAGCGTTGCAGGCAATGTCAGCACTGTCCCCATTCCTTTAATTGGGATGTTTTCCATACAAAATGAGCTTGGTAAACACATTACATGTGCAAAAGGTGTCTCTGGGCCTGGGGCAGCCTGGGCCACTATAAAAGCCAGTCCAACTGAAGGCTCCTCATCCACTTCTCCTGCCTTCTCCTCCTCGGTGAACCAGGTGAGCTGCAAGCACCTTTGCATCCTTCTTGTCTTTCCCCTTTTCTCTTGGCCTTCTTCCCTCAGCTCTGGCCTTGCTGCCATGTAGCTTTTACTGAGAACTTTGTTACTTGATCTGGCTCCCAACCTCTCTGTTGGGAGGTGGGAGAGGGTGTAGGACTCTGTTTCTGGGGAAACTATGGGGTTGGGACTCCTAATCTTTTTTTCCTCTGTATTCAAGCTATCCCTTCTCCCCAGCCTGAGCTCTGTCTCAGGTGAGCAGGGTGGCAGGCTGGGCCTTACATGATGCCTTTTCTTTCCCTCCCAGGTGCATCTCCAACCCACAGC